TTTGGCTCGGGCGTCACATGACTCCATACCCTCCAACATTTTTCAAGTGAAAATAAGGATGTCCTAAGGAAAAGTGGGATGTTTGGGGAGCAAATCAGAAAGCAGGACAGCTTCTGTAATTCTGGGTCTGTCGCTGGAAAATAAAGACACTTGAAGGGTCTGAAGACAGCCTTTGTTGAATGCAAATTTGAACAAGAACTCAGAGTAGAGTGGTAAGCAAGCAGCATGCATCTCCCTTTCAGATAATTGCCAAAATACCCTTTGTCATGGGGAAGTCCAGGCCCAGGGAACAAATGGAGCTCCCTTGCCTCTCTGTCTGCTCTTTGGGACTCCCCCCGCCCCGCACTGCCCTTGCTTCACATGCCTTGAGAGTTGTGGGGGCGGGGGGGTTGCCCAGATATCTTGTGTTCTTGAACACTCAAAATAACATCCCATAAACACCTGAATGGACAGAGAGAGAGTGTGTGTAAACTAGCCTGCTGTACAAAGGTACAATTCACATTCATTGTTCTGAGCATTTTGGCCTCTGGACCTTCCCATTACTGGAGGATCTGCCAGAAGAGACCACTGCCTCAGGCTAAACATGCTTTCCACCCCATGACAGCATCTTGAGTCATGCTGCTGTGATGCTGTGCTGTACAAAATGGGGAAATGCACCATCCCATAGTCTTCCATGTATCTCTGAAACAGGTGGAAACTAGATAGTGGACAGTAATGGACAGAGAACTGTTCTAAGCACCTGGAATACAAGTCATGTCCACCTGCCACAGTGAATGCTGAAACAAAATTTTGCTTGCTCTGGTAGTGCTCCTCTGAGATCTCGCAGAGTGAGAGAATCCCAGGGTCCTGATGCTGCCTTGATGTGACACTTGCCTGCCTGCCTGGCTGGCTGCTTGCTCCCATGAATAAGACCATGGCATTTCTTTCAAGAGCAGGTCACCCATGGTCAAAGGTCAGGGGTGATGGGAGCTGTAGTCCAGAAACTTTCCAAGAACCTCAGGTTTCCCAGATCTGCCTGGGAGGGGTAAAGCCTAAGATAGCAGTTTTCACAACCTTGGAAACTGAGCAGACAAAAATTTCCAGAGCAAGTTCTGGGGCATCATCACATGTGATCTAGAACAGGGATGTCCAACAGGTTGATTGGGATCAACTGGTCGATCCCGGGGAGGTTTCGGTAGATCACAATAGATCACTGGCTCCTCCATCCTGCCCCGCCCCCTCGCCCTATCCTCCAGATTGCTAGAGCAGAAGTTGGAGTTATTGCAGCGAGGCTGACTGTCTCATTAGTGATCTCTTTGTGAGTGCCTTATTTTATTTAATAGACCTAAGCCCCTAAATTCACAAACAATTCCTCCCTAAAAGCTCAACAACTTTTACCTGAACCCCCCCAAAGGGGTAGATCACTGCCAGATTTTAATTGTGTGAGTAGATCACAGTCCCCAGGAAGTTGGACATCTCTGATCTAGAAGATACTCACGACTTGTCTACAGCTGCACATTACTGCAGAAGCCCAGCTGTAGTGGCTGGGATACATTTCAAAGCATCTCTTCCACCAGGATCTCTTGTCTCTTTGAGAAGCCATAGTTCAATATCAGAGGCTCAGAGCACATGCTTAGCATGTAGAAGGTCCCAGGTTTAAACATTTCCAGGCGATGCTGAGAATGTCTCCTGTCTGAAACCCTGGAGAGCAAGGTGGGCAATAGTGAAGCAGATGGGATAATCCATTTACTCACTATAAGTCTGAATCCTATAGTCTGAATCCATGGCAATGTAGTGCTTTTCAAACATCATGCAAGGTTACCCTTCAAAAAACCTTGGCACATTTCTAAGGCCCCTCTTCTGATGTTAGCACCAAAGCTGATGCCATGATCTTTAGGAAATCATCCACGGGCACAACATCTCCATTGCAGAATGAGGGGAGCCACATTTATTTGATGCTGGGGCCCAGGTGTGATGTTAAGAAGCTAAGCTGAAGAGTGTCTTAGAGGCCTCAATATCCTAACCATCCAATCTCCAAGGTTGACCCCATGAGCAATAAAGTGGAACATTCTGTTGGTGGACAGGGTCCCCAAACTTTTAATAGTCATCTAGAAGAGAGAAAAGGGACGCGGGTGGCGCTGTGGGTTAAACCACAGAGCCTAGGACGCTGATCAGAAGGTCGGCAGTTCGAATCCCCGTGACGGGGTGAGCTCCCGTTGCTCAGTCCCTGCTCCTGCCAACCTAGCAGTTTGAAAGCATGTCAAAGTGCAAGTAGATAAATAGATACCGCTCCGGCAGGAAGGTAAACAGTGTTTCCGTGCGCTGCTCTGGTTCGCCAGAAGCAGTTTAGTCATGCTGGCCACATGACCCGGAAGCTGTACACTGGCTCCCTCGGCCAATAAAGCAAGATGAGCACCACAACCTCAGAGTCGGCCACGACTGGACCTAATGGTCAGGGGTCCCTTTACCTTTAGAAGAGAGAAATCCAGCCTTGTGGCTTTCCCCCTCACCTACATAGCAAAGCTGCACCTGATGTACTTCTCTCTCTTCTGCACTACTGTTAAAGGCATGGGAAGTCTGTCCATTTAGATCAGTGCTTCCCAAACTTGAGTCTCTCTCCAGCTGTTTTGGGACTACAGCATCTATCATCCCTAGCTAGCAGGACCAGTGGTCAGTGATGAAGGGAATTGTAATCCAAAAACAGCTGGAGACCCAAATTTGGGAGATCCTGATTTAGATAGTGCATCTCTCTTTTCAGATTCTGCAGGTAGCATCTATGAAAGAAGTCAGTGCACCTCATTTGTCAATAGTGCAGCCTTTCACAAGCTGGTGGCCTCCAGGTGTTTTTGAATACAGCTCTCACCAGCTCCAGCCAGTAAGTCTTTGCTGACTGGAACCGATGGGACTGAAACATTGAGGGGAGGGCAGTAGGTAGGAGCTGGGTGCAAGAGCTCCATAGCTGGTAAGCTCTTCTTGCTAGACGCTGCCAGATTCATCGTGTGCTGTGGCTGCTAGCATTGGGAGATGAATTTAGTCTGCAGGACACCATATGCTCCCAGCTTCTGAAAGATCAGTGGAGTCACTGAGGCTAGAAAAGTTGGTCACCTGCAGTACAATGACACCCCACCGCAGCCTCCCTCCCATTTGCTACCACACAAACGCCCATCATCCCAGAACCCTGGCCAGGCTGGATGGGGCAGATGGGACTTTGAGGGCATGAGCAACATCTGAAGGGCACACACACGAAAGCTGTACTTTCTTTCTAGGAAATGCAGATGACTCAGGTCCCAGAAACGCTTTTCAGGTCTGCCCTCAACTCCTTGTGACAATTGTTTGTACTGCTTCGTTGATTAAGCTGTGAACCAGATCTAAAGTGTTATTGTGTAATACACTTTAAAGTGGGCGGGTCCCAGCCATATCGACTCACCATCTAAGAGCTTGTTCCATCCAGCATTTCCATCATGCCCTTATCAAAAGGGTACACAAAGGGGAGCGGAATGTCAGCCTTTGGTGATGTCATCTGTATGAAATCACCTCCAGCCCTCCAACTGCCACTTATCCCTCAGGTATCAGAGCTGATTGTATTTTTATAAATTGCAGGGTGACATCACCAGGGCCCCCAGTAGCACATTTTCTTCCCAGCCTGTTTCTGACATAGTTAACTGCCCAAATGTGCCCCCCCTAGAAGCAGAGAATGGATGTGGGACCCCTATTCCCTGTCTTTCACCCCCTGACCTTCCCATATCCATTAAAGACAGTCTGTTCTTGGACAGTAAGGCTCAGCAGCCCCTCACAAGTTTATAAGCACCCATTCGCAATCCGACAAATGTTTTGAATATGAGACATGGCAGGGAATATCAGTGTGATCCTATGAATGTGGTCTTAGAGGAGCCCAGGTGTCTTGGCCTCATCCTCCCCCCAGACCCAGACCCAGACATCAAACAAGAATCTCATCTGGTTCTTGATCTGAGAATAATAAAAGCCCACTTCAAATGTTCAGAGCTCTTTGCATATATTATTTTAGTAATCCTTCTAGCAACCCTGTAAGGTGAACCAGCATGGTCAGTGCATCTGGCTGTAAACCAGAAGACTGGTGTTTGAGCCCACCCAGGGGATGGACCAGTTGACTCTTGGGGTCCCTTCCAACTCTACAATTCTGTGATTCTGTGACCATTCCCCATATTAAAGACTGGGAAGGCACCGAGGAATAGTAGCTTGTCTAAGGTCGCCTCACCCCTACACAGTACATTCAAAGCACTATCATCATACCACTTTGACAGTCATGGGGAATCCTGGGAACTGTAGCTTCTTAAGGGTGCTGGGAACTGTAGTTCTGGAAGTTCAGCAGCCTTAACCACACTGCTCAGGATTTCCCATGGCTATTAAAGTGCCTTAATGTGGGATTCCTGGCTCACACTTGGGCAGGTAAACTTGGAAGTAAGTTCCCCTGGGTTCAGTGAGGCTTATTCCAAAGTGGGTATGCATAGGACGGCAGCCTTTACTTCCAAGCTGCACAAGCTCTAGCAGAAGGGATTCCGTCAGCCCCTTCTATGCCTAATAAGCCTATCCCCAATTTCTTAGGAAATTTCCCCTTCCCCAGTCTGGCCCCCAAGACTTAACAGACGCGTTTCCAGCCCATAGAGAGAGCCCGGGTGTCCTGGTCTTGTGTGTTCCCCTGCTCAGCCTGAAGCGGAGCCCCAGAAGGGAGAGGAAACCTCGCCAAGGTATTATTCACCAGCCTAGCTAGTGGCCCGCTTTCCAGAAAAGGCGGCGGCGGCGGCGGCGGCGGCGGAGATTGAAGTCAGTCTAACATCATCCCAACATCTTCCCCCTACCTCTCCTCCATACATCATGACATCATTTCTGTCCCCTGCCCACCCCACGGAGTGGTGATCTCCATCTGGGCGGTCCCTCGCCTCTCCATTGGCTAGGAAGCTATGTCCGTCATTCCCTGAAGTGGGCGGCCCCCACGCTGCTCTCCTTACAACGCCCCCCCCCCGCTTTGAAATCTGGGACTTCAGAGCGTGACAGCTGGAAGCAGGAGTTGGGTACCTACTGACCCCAGCAAAAGAAGCCGGACCCCGGCTGTGCCCTAGGCAAGGCAGCGGGTGAGTGAGCCTGGGTCCCCCAGACCACGGTCGAAGGATGCGGTTGCTGCGGGAGACGGGATGCAGGAGGTGGAAGGGGCGGAGTGGGGAAGCAGCTAGGCGGAAAGTTTCCCGGCTTCATCTCGTCCTCTGTACTGACCTAATTCCTCAGCTCCCCTTCCTCAATCCCAGCACCATTCTCCCAGCCCATCTGGCCATCCCCGCTTCTTCTTTTTAACGCATCTACTTGGGTCCATCCAACGATCTGCACTATTCCCCCATCCTGGTTCCTGCTCCAGGGACAAAAACCTCAGGGATTCCCTGGTGCCCAGCCCACCTTCCCTAGCATCTCACTCCCCACCTAGGATGGAGGATATAAGCAAGCCAGGAGTTCTGCAGACCACCTTTCCCAGCTCTCTAAAGTCAAATCCAGTCCAAGCAATAATTGATTCTGGCACAAAAGGAAAAATGCTATGCTTGTGGTATTTGGAGTGATTTTTAAAGCTGCCCTTCTTTTGTCACCATGGTACATGCTACATCTAGGACTGGGCAAACAAAGAGAGAAACAACTCCTTGGGTCATCCCTGGAGTGTTCCTCTCCTAAATTGCAGAGGCAGGTGAGGTGGGGCTGGAAGCCAGGGCTTAAGGTGATCCACCATAGCCAGGAAGGTTGATGAGGGAACCCTGGGACTCGACTAACTGGGGGCACAGACTTCCATCCCCGTGCACATTCAATGCAGCCAAGCAGGCCGTGCCATTTTTAAGGGTTAGTTTGACTCCCCATGCCTGCCTGCCTCCAACCAGCCAGTAGCCATCAACACATTGCTTCCTAGTTTTGTTCCAAGTGCTTTGGAATTAACTGAACAGCCTCAATATGTACTGAAGTGCATGGTGTGCCAACTGGCAGCAGGTTTAGCTCTACTGTGTTACTTCACTGTGCTGTCACTTATGTTTTGATTCAAGGAATGGCGAGGTTGAAGTGCTCTTGCTCTGTTCCCAACCTTAAAAGCCTCTAAAATGGCAGCAAAGAAGGAAAGCTCTTTGAGGGTGACCACAGGAAAGGGGAGCACATCTCAGGAAGAAAGCACCTGCCCAGGTGCATCTCCAGGTGGGGCTGGGAGAGACTTCTTGCCTAAAACTGTAGGAGATACTGCCAGTCAGTGTAGAGGAGCCAACAGTCTGACTCCACTGCTCACTGCAACTCTTGAGAGCCTGGACAGAGACTCTGAAGCAGTGCAGAAACTCCAAGTGGAGGACAAAGTTTCGCTGGGAGAAGCCACCCTCCTCCATAGGACTCTTTTGTCCTGCCCCAGCTTCCCAAGGAGAACGTGCATTGGATGAGAGCAGGTCCCACGTCCAGCCCCCTAAGGTATCTTCTAGACAGAAGCAGAAGTCTTGGAGACACTGGGCAGATGGGAACCACCCATTCATCTGCACCTTCTCTGCTTTTCAGTGTCATCCTGTAATCACCCTGCACAGGTTGCGACAGAATAGAAAAAGGAATTCCACATGGGGAAGGCACAGCTCAGAGTATGAAGGGCAAAGGCTGTCCTTTGCTAAAGGGCAGTCCTTCCCCAGAGCTTCTGGGATGGGGGGGGGGAGCAATCTCATCAGAAAAAAGGAGAGAAACTAGCCATGCTTTCCCTTGAGCAGGCAAGAACTGCAGCCTCACCGGGTAAACAAAACAGAGGCAAAAGAGAAAGAGAAGTTAGAGGAGCTCTTTGTTGCACCCAGCTGTGGTGGTTCTTCTGGGCAGTCTCCCTTTGACCCCTGTTTAGGATTCAGTGGATATGGTCATTCAATAATTGTCCACTGATTCATTCATATCCCCCCCCATGTCCCCATTTCCTCTTCTTAATGCAACTGAGCTCATTTATGAATTATTATTTTTTGCCTGGATGCCCTCGTCTAGGTTAATTTTGGAGATTTTGGTCATGTCCCATAAGAAAAGAAGCTCAGCACATAACAGATAAATTAGAAAGATTCCCAGCCGAGAAGGGGGCTTCAAATCAAAGAGCAAAGAAGAAAAGTTGAGGGAACTGGGCAGTTTTTACATTGGGATGAGGAATGCTTCTGTGAAGAAATTACTAGCTCTGTGAGATGTGCACTGTGATGGGGCCCAGGACTCTCTGAGGCCACCTAGGGGTCAGTGAGAGGGAGCAGGCTTGGAGACCAAATCAAATGCAAGAACAAAACAACAACTTTCCTGCTACCAAAAATCGGTCCCAGTTGCTGGAGGAGCATTGGATACACATTCATCCAGAAAGGTTTAGGATAAAATTATCTCTACTTGATGCAGTGGCAAATCTCTCAAGGTGCCCTCAAAGGCCACAGTTCTCCCTGCACAAAGTAGCAACTGAGTCCCTTGATCAGCTGCTGACACTGCTTGCTGGCTGTACTGTGTTATTTCCATCTGTTCATAATAATACTTGTTATTTGCCTTTCCTATCCATGGACTCAAGAGAAGCAAACAGGTTTTTTAAACAAGCAACAAGCAACAACAACAACAACAACAAAAGATCACAGTAAAAACTACACCAAAAATAAGATACTTTTTTAAAAAAGCCAACTGGCACTAATAAACCAACCAGCCCTGGAAAAAAAAGCCTTCAATATATGACAAAATGTAGTTACTTGTGTTCTGCATATACAAAGCAAAGCTCAGGTAAATGGTGTCTGAGATGCTTATCGAAAGTGCCCACGGGAGGATGAAAGAGCCTTTGGATTCTGCTTCTTGGGGGAGGCAAGGAGAGCCTGCTTACACTCTTCCTTGCACAACTGCCTTGCAAAGTAGGCCTGTTGCATCTGCAAACTACCCAGGAATCACTGCCATCAAACCCCTTAATTCAGCTAATCAGAGCATAGGTCATGTTTGCCAGGTAACCAGGTAACCGACTTCTTTCCAGAAGTTGAAGATCTGGCAGACGCCATGGTTATTGCTGGTGGAGTTTGCCAGTGGGGTTTTCTCAATCTTCCTGTGCTTATGATTTCAGTAGTACATGCCTCACCTGCTCAGGCTAAATGGAGTGGGGAGGGGGAGCAGGACAGCAGAGCTTTTATCCACATTTGGCTCATGCTGGAGTGAGTCAGTGGCCACAGCCAAAGTCGCTGGCCTTTCAGACCTTGCTCAGTTCAAAATATGGTCCTTGTTAGAATATTAGTTGCCCACTTGGGGCACACAGGAAGGATGTCATCTTCTGCTCCTAGGGAAGGGAGCTCCCAAAAAGAAGGCCCTGCTATACACAATCTGTGAATTCACTTATAGAATTATAAAACCATAGTTCTGTGGAGTTAGAAGGGACTCCAAGGGTCACCTAGTCCAACCCTTTACAATGCAGGAATCTCAACTAATACACCCATGACAGATGACCATCCAACCTCTGCTTAAAAACCTCCAGGGAAAGAGTCCACAACCTCCCAAGGTTCCACTGTCAAAAAGTTCTTCCTGGTGTTTAGCCGGAATCTCCTTTCTTGTAACTTCAATTCATTGGTTCAAGTCCTATCCTCCAAAGCAGGAGAAATCAAGTTTCCTCCCTCTTCCATGTGACAGCCCTTGAGATATTGGAAGATGGCTACCATCTCCTGTCAGTCTACTCTTTTCCAGGCTAAACAACCATTCCTCATAAGGCTTGGACTCTTGATCATCTTGGTTGCCCTCTGTATTCCAGGTATGGTCTGCCCATGGCAGACTAGAGCAGGACTATGATTTCCCTTGATATGGACACTAGACTTCTGCTGATGCAGCCTAGAATAGCATTAGGGTCTTTTGCTGTTGCATCAACCCAGCTGCCCATGCTAAGCTTGTGATCCACTAAGACCCCTGGATCCTTTTCATACCTACTACTGGCAATCCCTCATTTTATATTTGCTCCTGCCTAAGTGTAGAAACTTACATTTATCCCTATTGAATTTCATTCTGTTAGTTTGGGCCCATTTAGTTCTCCAATTTGTTAAAGTCATTTCAAATCTCAATTCTGTCTTCTGTGGCATTAATTTATATGAGGGTGAGACCACTTTCCTTTCAGCATCCTTAAAATAATGGCATCTGACTCTGAACATGATTCATTTCAGAGACAAATGAGTCTTAGCTAAATCCATCACAAAGGAGTGCAGGATTTCAACCAATGCCATGATACTGATGCCTGACAATGGCTCTCAAAGTGAACCATTCACAGGGTTGTGTTATCACGCCAACTCTATTTATTATTTTCATTGTCATGATCCTACACTTTGTCCAAGGGAAACTCCCCACCAGGGTAGAAATATATCAAACAGATGGAAAGCTCTTCAATCTGAGCAGGCTGAAAGCAAAGAGTAAGGTTACCATAACTTCTGTCATAGAGCTTCAGTATGCTGATGACAACGTAGTGTGTTCACACTCAGAGGATGACCTCCAAACCATCCTTAATATCTCTGTAAGTAAAGGTAAAGGGACCCCTGACCATTTGGTCCAGTCGTAGCCGACTCTGGGGTTGTGCGCTCATCTCGCTTTATTGGCCGAGGGAGCCAGCGTACAGCTTCCGGGTCATGTGGCCAGCATGACCAAGCCACCTCTGGCGAACCAGAGCGAACCAGAGCAGCACATGAAACGCCATTTACCTTCCCGCTGGAGCGGTATCTATTTATCTACTTGCACCTTGACGCGCTTTCGAACTGCTAGGTTGGCAGGAGCTGGGACCGAGCAAGGGGAGCTCACCCCGTCGCGAGGATTAGAACCGCTGACCTTCTGATCGGCAAGTCCTAGGCTCTGTGGTTTAACCCACAGCGCCACCCGTGTCCAATATCTTTGTAAAAGGTAAAAGTAAAGGGACCCCTGACCATTAGGTACAGTCGTGGCCGACTCTAGGGTTGCGGAGCTCATCTCACTTTATTGGCCGAGGGAGCCGGCGTACAGCTTCCGAGTCATGTGGCCAGCATGACCAAGCCGCCTCTGGCAAACCAGAGCAGCTCATGGAAACGCCGTTTACCTTCCCGCCAGAGCGGTACCTATTTATCTACTTGCACTTTGATGTTAGATGATGCTAGGTTGGCAGGAGCATATCTTTGTAGAAGCATACAAAAAGTTTGCCTATCACTCAACATCCAAAAAACCAAAGTGCTGCACCAACAAGCACAAAATAACCCCTCTGCAGCGCCACAAATCCAACTCAATGGAGTATCGTTGGAAAGTGTCAATCACTTCTCCTACCTGGGCAATTATCTCTCCACAAGGGCCAACACTGATGCTGAAATCCAGCATCTCCTGAGCTCTGCAAGTGCAGCTTTTTCCTGATTGAAGTGCAGAGTGTTTGAGGAGCGGGAAATTTGCAGGGAAACCAAAATGCTTGTTTACAAAGCTATTGTACTATCAACCTTACTGCATGCTTCTGAAACATGGACCACTTACAAACGCCATCTCCAACTCCTTGAAAGATTCCATCAATGGTGCCTCCAAAAAAATTTACATATCACTTGGGAAGACAGGCGAATTAATGCCAGTGTACTTGAAGAAGCAAAAATCACCAGTGTCAAATCAATGATTCTTCAACATCAACTTTGTTGGACTGGTCATGTTGTGCAGATGCCTGATTATTGTCTTCCAAAGCAACTACTCTATTCTGAACTTAAAAATGGAAAGCGTAATTTTGGTGGTCAACAAAAGAGGTTCAAAGACTCTCAAGGCAAAGAAGAGCAAAGAAGCCATGACAGCGAGCGGGAAAGAGCCTGCAAGCTTGCGGATAGCTGCCCTAAGCCCGGGGTGCGCAGTGCCGCGCTCCCCGGACTTCGGGCTGCAAGCACTCCCGCCAGGCGCCGCAGGCTTGCAGATAGCTGCCCTAAGCCCGGGGTGCGCAGTGCCGCGCTCCCCGGACTTCGGGCTGCAAGCACTCCCGCCAGGCGCCGCAGGCTTGCAGATAGCTGCCCTAAGCCCGGGGTGCACAGTGCCGCGCTCCCCGGGCTTCGGGCTGCAGACAGCCTGCAGGCTTGCGGATAGCTTCCTGAAGCCTGGAGAGCAAGAGGGGTCGGTGTGCAGCGACCCCTCTCGCTCCCCAGGCTTCAGCGAAAGCCTGCATTCTCCCCACAGGACGCACACACATTTCCCCTTCATTTTTGGAAGGGAAAAAGTGTGTCCTATAGGGCAAAAAATACGGTAAATAAAAAGTCTTCACCAGTTTCCATTAAACCTACCAAATTCACATATGTGTCTCTGCCCACATACCCATAGGTTTCTGCAAAATGTTGCTTGCTCCTTTTTCTTAGGTTTTCCCAATTCAGATTTACTGAATCCTGGACTTTTGTTTTTGCCTGTGGAGGAAACAAAAATAAACTGAAAATGGGCAGGGTGTGGGTGTGTGGAAGCTTCGTTAAATGAATGGCTTCCATGATATGGGTTATTTTTCTACTCCAGATCTAGAATTCTTCCTCTGCAGCAATGACCTTACTGTTTAGGCTTATAAATTTCTCCTGGCAGCTGTTCTCCCGCTGGATTAGCATCAGGGTAACAACTATCAAAATAACAGAACCCTCATTTGGGCAATGAAACCTCAGGACTGTGATATGTTTAAACAGGAACACACAGAAAATATTCGCTTATCAGTTAGGCTGTCCTTCTCTCAAAAGGGGACAAAACACACATGCCATTGTCATTATCATCACTTTTCATGTACATATGCTCATTTATTTAAAGAAATTTACTAATTGTGCTACTAACTAGGTAGCACCTTCTCATTAAAGCATGAATTGCATTTTTTATATTATACAAGAAACCTCATACCCAGTGTTGCTTGAGAATTCTAAGAAAGAAAGAAACAAACAAAATCAATACAGAGTTAAAATCATTGCAATTTTGAAAGGTTCAGCCCATCATCTTGTTTAATGGCATCCAATTATATACAAATTTGGACAAAAACATGCTCCTTGATCTGAGGAACCATCATGCAAGATTTGGTTACAATATCTTAAATATCCAAATACATGGTGAACAGACAAACAACTTTAAAAAATATTTTGTAGACATATTACAAACCCTGCCTGTGTCCTCAAGGAAGATCACCCAAAAACATTCAAAATGTCTAGCAAATGCCCATCAAATAAGCTCATGCTGTTAGATCACCTATCCTACACAAGTGAAACATCCACACAAAAAGGAAACATATTTAGTGCATAAAGACACATTTTGAACTACACAATATTGAGATAAAATATGCAAACTCTTGATTCCAAACCCAGCCAGCTGTACAATTTTAAAAAGCTAAAGTACCACATATGAAAATGAATGAAATAAAGAGATCTGAAACTCTGAAACTTCTACATTACACCTTAGAACAAGCCCTTTACTTGTGCAAGGTCTGGGGGGGCAGGGCCATAGCTAGAGGGTGGTGAGGTAGGCCCCTACCAGGGATGCAGGCGATGGGGGGGCACAAAATTGGCTAAAATATGTCCATAAATATAAATATTGATTATTGCCTCGTAAGAAATGGTTTTAAATAGAGGGTGAATTGAATGGGTGGAAGGGGGGGTTGGAGGAGTGGAGGAAAGAAGAGCTAATAGGGGGAGCAACCTGGACGGTTCTGCCAGGGGCGCAAGATCACCAGCTACGGCTCTGGTGGGGGAACAGTGGCAAGGGAAACTAACTACAGGTTTGGTTTGCTCATAAAACTAAGCCATGGTTTGTTTAGCCAAAGTGTGGCTTGTTTGAATGTCTGAAACCAGTTCAGCAAACTAACCGTGGCACGTTTCCAGCACAAATTATGATGTGAAACTATGGTTTGTTGTTGACTTACAAACTATGGCTTCTTTGAACTATGGGTTGGCATTATGCCTGAACCCAACAGCCTTGCTTGACTACAGTTTGTCTGATCACCCCATCCCAGATGCTCACCAAACTATAGAGGCATGAGGGAAAAACAAACCGAGCTTTGCAGAAACACACCATGGCTGGTTTGCTCTTCTGTGAGGCGACTCATGGTTTGTTGAACAAATTCTGCTTAAAACAAACCCTAGCTTTGTTTTGTCAGTCTTGCTATATCATGCTGTATCATGGCAACATAAAAGTTAAACCACAGAAGACATCTGAAGGCAGCCCTGTTTTGTGTCATGTTTAATGTTTTATTATGTTTTTATATATGTTGGAAGCCCCCCAAGTGGCTGGGGCAGCCCAGTTAGATGGGTGGACTATAAATAATAAAAGTATTATTATTATTATTATTATTATTATTATTATTAAATAGGGAATCACTATGAGAAATGTTGGAGGGTATGGAAGCAGCCTAATTATCTGGGGTTCTTGAGGGAGAGATGTACAGTGCATTTGTTTGTTTTGCAAAAAACAAAAAGAAAACAGTGGGGGAGACAGATCCCCAAGGGGCTTACAATCTAAAAATAGACACAAGGGAAAAACAGATGAAAGATTTTATCTCTCTCTCTCTCTCTGACTTAGTTCAGTCAGATATTGGTTCTAAGGGCTTTTTCAAATGGCTTAATGTAAAATTATGATTATGTTGTTTTATCGTATAAAAAGTGACCAGGTCCAAAGGAAGGCAGTGCTCCTGTACCTTGGATGAGAGGATGTTGGTAGGTTTTGTTTTTTTCTCCTCCCCTTTGGGATGAGCAGCTGCACCTGCCAAAATCCCTGCTTTCATAGATCCATTTGACAAGGAGCCTGGCTCTTCTCTGCATCTAGTTACCTGCCAGCGCAGCCGCTGCAAACACATGCAAATAACCACAATGCACAATCATCAGTGGGCAGTCACAAGTGCGCCCCCCCAACTATGTGAGGCCCTGCGCCAACACACTCCAGAGCCAGGTCCCTCCTGGCATGATGCGCTGTGCATGTGAGTGTGTACAAAGAGGGTCAGTTCAAGTTCGGGATTGATGGGTGTGGGGATCAATTATTCAAGAGGCCCAATTAATATTCATAAGCCTCCGGCACCAAACTGTCAAAGACAAGGAGGGGAAATGAGAGCAAGCGTCAATATGCTGTGTTTGTGTGTTGCAGGGCAGAGAGAAGAGCAGTTCCATCCCAATACTTGCAACCCAATAGTCCCAGAATTAATAGTCTGTCCATTAAGCTGGGCTCTCAACCTTGGCCCAAGAAATGACCCTAATTAAGAGTAAGAAAAGCTATGTTTGCGCATGTTCTGTCCCACAGACCCAAATGTAGACCTGGGTGAGTGGATCGCTGGGGCCCCAAAGGAACCAGTTGCAGGGATTCCAAAGAAGGCTGAACAAAGTGCCCTGGGATCAATTCTAAAGCTTAGCTGTAGAGAGACTTACAGTGAACCACTCGGTCAGGATTCATATTTGGGCAAATGGGTAAACCAGCAATCCAAAGCCTCTCACACACTAATTGAAATCAGCAGGAGCAAAGGAGTCACTCAAAACCTTACTGAGTAGCAACTACTGTACAAATTTCCCAAATTTCCAAGCCACTGGGGGACAGCATGGCCAGGGGCTGTGACCACAGTGGAATCACTGTTGCCATGTGGCAAACCTTAAAAGGCATGTGCAAGTGCTTCTCTGTTCAGCATGTCTGCATTGCCTACCTTTAATTCTAAGTAAAACTGCCGGGGGGGGGGGGCGGGGACAACAAATACTAAATGAGGCAGCAGCAAAACAGTAAATAAAAAAACCCATTAAACAAAGGACAGAGCAAATAAAATAGTCTTCCTCTGACAATTCATCTAGGTGCTAAGAGAACCTTGACATCATATATTTTAAGTACATGGCTACCCCCCCCAAGAGAATTCTGGGGGCTGTAGTTTGTTATGGGTGCTGTGAATTGTAGCTATGTGAAGGGTAAACCAGTTTCTTTGAGGGAACCCAGCCACTGTAAGTGTGCTTTAAATGTCTGGTGTGGATGGCTCTGCAGATGATGTTCCAGAAATTTAGGCATGCTAAGAAAAGGCCTTATCTAGAGTCTGCATCTGCTTATCTCCAGTGGTGAGAGCATTCGGAGCAAGATTTCCAGGGATGGGGCACCTGTGGCCCTCCAGAGATTGATGGACTGTGACACCCATCATCCCTAGCCATTGGCCATGCTGGCTGGGGCTGATGGGAGTTCGACAGCATCTTGAAGGCCACAGGTACCCCATCCTTGAACAAAGCAAACAGGCAGGTACTGGATGTGCTAACAGCTCAGCTGTCAAACGCCAGCGTCTTTGCAGCTGGGAACGATTACATGAGACAAGTGGTTGGCAACAAGCGTCCTCAGACCAAGGAACATAGAAACATGGGAAGCTGCCTTAGACTGGTTCAGACTATTAGGTCTATCTAAGCTCATTAGGGACTGGTAGCAGCTCTCCAGGGGGTCGTGCAGGGGACAAATGGTGCCCCTTCCCTGTTAGACAAGTGTGGATCTTCACTCACCCCTTCTTCTCTGGTGGCGGGGCGCCATTTTGTGGTTTGCTTCAGGTGCCAAAATGCCCTTCTTCATGACAGGGCTGGCCCGGGGGAGGGGGGTCACCACCATGTTGCCAGCTCTGGCTCTCTGCCACTTGCAATTCCTTGAGTTCCCTCTCTTATACTTGCCCCAAATAACTCTTCTTCGGCATCCTTCCGTGTGGCAGGCAGACTTTGTAAGAAAATAGTCCCAACTTCCCTGTCAGCAGCTTACAGTGCGGCTTGCTGGTTAAAAAATATATATATAATCCTGCTTCTCTGTCACTGTAGTAATCAGATGCAAAGGAGAGTAGAGCATCTATCCCATAATTAGTAAAGTTGCCTTTTTCATTAAAATAAATAAATAAAAGGGCCCTGCTCTTGTATTTGCAGTGACAGTCTGACATGCAGCAATTTAGCAGGCGGAGAGTTTCTGAGTGCAGAGAGGAAGTGATAGGAAGAACTTAGCTTAAAATGTTCTGCATGTCACATTGATGTTTGAGAAAACTAGAAGGGCGTAAATCAAAAAGAAAGCAACCTTGCCTTTGTTAGTTGTGGCTGCGGGTCTAACCCCCTGCTCAACACACATACACACACAGTTTCTCATTGCTGCATGCCCTTACCTGCTAAAATGTAGTCTTCGAGAGCAGTGGGTCCCACTAAGCTAAGGGCTGCAGATCCCCCTGTTTTTAAAGCCAAGCCATGGACTTCCTACTTTTGAAAAAAATAATGATATCTCTATGGTAGTTTGTGTTATGCAAACAGTGTCATGGACCCCCTGCATGGGTTACACAGACTTCCTGGGGGCTGCGGACCACCAATTGGGAACCACTGAGAATAATCCAGGATTCCTGTTGTGACTTTTTTTTTGCATGTGACAGGCCAGCACATCTCACAGCATGCAGATGTGACATCAGCATATCGCACAGAGTGCTCATGTCACACAGCGCAGGTCCCCTCAACTGCAGGGGCAAGTCGGCACACCTGAACAGAAGTCTAGCATCCTGATCAAGGGAAGTCATAGTACCACTCTATTCTACCTTGGTCAGACACATCTGGAGTCCTTTGTCCAGTTTTGGGCATCACAATTTAAGAAGGATGTTGACAAGCTGGAAGGTGTGCAGAGGAGGGAGACCAAGATGATGAAGGGTCAAAAAAAACCAAGCCTTATGAGGAATAGTTGAAGGAGTTGGGTATGTTTAGCCTGGAAAAGAGGAGACTGAGAGGAGATATGATTGTTGTTGCTGTTTAGTCGTTTAGTCGTGTCCGACTCTTCGTGACCCCCTGGACCAGAGCACGCCAGGCACTCCTGTCTTCCACTGCCTCATGCTGGTTGCTTCGAGAACGCTGTCCAACCATCTCGTCCTCTGTCGTCCCCTTCTCCTTGTGCCCTCAATCTTTCCCAACATCAGGGTCTTTTCCAGGGAGTCTTCTCTTCTCATGAGGTGGCCAAAGTATTGAAGTCTCAGCTTCAGGATCTGCCCTTCCAGTGAGCACTCAGTGAGCTGATTTCCTTCAGAATAGATGGGTTTGATCTTCTTGCAGTCCATGGGACTCTCAAGAGTCTCCTCCAGCACCATAATTCAAAAGCATCAATTCTTTGGCGATTAGCCATCTTCAAACATCTAATGGGTTTTCACATAAAAAATGGAGAAAGCTTGTTTTCTCCTGCTCTGGAGGCTAGGACTCAAATAGTGGCTTCAAGCTGCAATAAAGGAGTTTCAGACTAAACATCAGGAAGAACTTTCTGACAGTAAGAGCTATTTGATAGTGGGGGGCTCTCTTTCCTTGGAGGTTTTACAGCAGAGGTTGGGTGGCCATCTGTCATGGATACTTTAATTGAGATTCCTGCACTGCAGGGGGAGGGACTAGATGACCCCTGGGGGTGGCTTCCAACCCTACAATTCTGTGATTTTATGAACTAAATTAACAGGATCAGCTGCCTTTGAGAGAGTCCACAGGAAATATATGGTGCCTTTGGAATCATCTAGGCTTTGTTTTTGTTTTTTGCTTTCACAAGTGCCCCTGCAGAGCAGGCCGTGAGACAAATCTTATCCCCTGCTAATGTTTGCCGATCATGCTATTGTTAAAGCCACAGGTGTAGGAATCAGAGAGGCTGGCAAGCCTACTTTAGATCGAAGCCAAAAAATGTCCCTTCCCCTACCAGGCTATGGCAAACGGAGGGACAATTCAGTTGCATCAGATCCAGGGATTTCCCCTCTTTTGTTTTCATTCTTTATTGCTAAGGCTTGAGCAGCAGCAGGCTGACGCAGCAGGTGATGCTTTTCCTGGTAGGAAGCGGTTGGGCAGGTGCAGCTTGCTCTGCCAAGGCTAGCACAAACTGCAGCTGCCAAAGCTCTTCTGCAGGAGTTGTGCCTGCTCAGCCCAGTCACAACCGTTTAAACACAACAAAACAAAAAAACAAAAAAAGCATAAAACTAACACAACAAGACACAAACCATTTAAAACACAAAACAATTTCAATATCTTATCTTTCATTCCCTTATTTCCACGACCTCCTCACACCTCCCTTTTTGTATTCCACTTCTGTTAATTGTTTCAGCAATTCCTTTCCATCTTCCTCTGTTTTCTATCCTATAATTATCTTAACATATTCTAACCTTATTTTTCCCTTTAATACTCTATTAATCTATTTATACTTAATTCCTTATAACATTTCTACTAAAGCCATATAACTTCATTCCAACATTTTTCTAACATTCCTTATTTTTACAATATTTCTATAAATAGTCTTAAACTTTTTCCAATCTTCTTCCACCGACTCTTCTCCCTGGTCTCGGATTTCTGCCAGTCATTTCCACCAATTCCATATAGTCCATCAACTTCATCTGCCATTCTTCCCGAATAAATAAATCTTGTGTCTTCCAGTACTTCACAATGAGTATTCTTGCTGCTATTGTTACATACGTGGAAAAAGTTCTATCCTTCTTTAACACCAATTGGCCGACCATGCCCAGGAGAAAGGCCTCTGTTTTCTTCAAAAGGGTATATTTAAATACCTTTTTCATTTCGTTATGAATCATCTCCCAAAGTGTCTTAATCCTTGGGCATGTCCACCAAAGGTGAACTCTAATCCTCAAATTTGTCTGTTTTTCTTTAAGTTCAGTCATAACAAGCGTCAACTTATGGTCATCAAATTGCCTCTGTAGGGCTGGGGCTCTCTTTCTCTTTCTCTCCAGTTGTGTTACTTTACATTCAGCAACAACAGCTTTTTCCCTGGCTTCCTCCGCAGTTTGCCGTATCAAAGTAGGTTCCTGTATCAACTTCTGGGTGGTTTCTGTATTGGTATTATTTATACTTTCTGTATTTAAGTTAATTTTAGTAATTGAAACATCCACTTTCGCATTTATCGTGTCCATTTTCCTGTTAAGCTGATCCAGTGAGTCATTTATCTTATATAATGCAGCCACTAAAGCCTCTTCTGTCGACATTCCTCTTGGTTTTAAATGTACAAAGGCAGCAACAGAAGGAGCAGGGGGGCCTGATGATGGACCTCTCCTGGATTGTTGCCAAGTCCTCCCAGACCTTAATGTTTTGTCAGCAGTTGACTGGTCTGTTTTTCCTCTTCCATTTACTATAACACTTGAAAGATTCAAGGTCAGTCCCAGAATCTCACGGTTTTTAACTTGCAGCTGGAAATTCCCCTAGCCCAGCTCTTGTAAAGCAACCGGTTTCAAAGGCTTCCACTAGGGGGAAACAGTTTCTATTTGTAATAGTCAATAGTATCTTCTTTTAAACAATCCAAAATTAGTTTCAAATTAGTTTCAATTTTCAGTTACTTTTACTCCTTTTTAAAGCAGCCGGAGACAGTAGAAACAATGTATTTCTCTTGTTTAACTAGCTGTCAATGAACGTTCTAAACGCTGTCAATGAACATTCCAAAAGACATCAGTCCTGCTAGCAGCCCGTTTCCAGGGTCAGAGCGGCGGTGTTTTAAATCTCTTCGCTCTCTCCCACAGGCATACTCAATCCGCAACTTCCCCCTCTCTTCTCCTGCCTCCAAGAGGGGGTTTAATGTTCTTTACCGATGGAAATTTAATCTTTTACAAAAGGCTTTCCAGGACTCCAGCTTGCAACTTCATTGCCTCAGTCTATTTACAAAAGGGGAAGGCGGACTTCCTGTTTTGAACCTCCCCGTTACGGTACCAAATTAAACATTTAGAAATCCAATTCTTCCGCTTCAGCTCTACTCACGGGTAATTACTTTAAAGTCAAATTGTCCACAGGAAAAGGTCAGCGCTCTCCGTCAACAGCTATACGGCTTCGCTCCGTGGAAGAAGCAGACGATTCGATGCACCGCGCCGCTCACCCCACGTCACTGCGGATCCCCGAAACCGGGTTTCCCCGCGAGTGGGGGAGGCGCAAAAGGTGCCCGCCGAATCCCACGCTCATAGGCTTCTCCCGCCTGTGATTTTAACGGGTCTCCGTCTTCGCCGTGGCGGCCAGACCCAGATTCCCACGGAGCAAATTCCTCCCGATCAGAGGAATTCCGCCATTACCGGAGGCACCTCCCCGGAAGTTTCGTCAGTTGCAATTCTGCATGTAGCACACAGCACTGATTGTGTACCTCTGGAAACCATCAGCCTAGGCACACATTCAAAATCACTTCAATCTGATTAGTCCTCAGACTCACCAGCCTTTGACTTTTCCAGATCGAAGACTGACTTTTAAGTCAAACTTGCAATGTATGACCCACTTTAATTTCTGTAAGATCTTCCTCTGTCTGTCTGTCTGTCTGTCTATCTGTCTACTCTCTCTTTTCTCTCCCGAAGATTGCCATGGCAGTTCTTGTGTGAACCACTTTAAATCGAGCCTCAATCCAGTTCTGGATCACATTCTACTCAGGGAAAGATGGATAAGTCTAGATCCAGTCCATTTCCAGTACTTCACATTTGTTCATTGATAAATCTTCATCCCCTTTTTGTATCAATCTTCTCTTTTAAAGAAATATGCTCCCCAAAACTGTATTTAAATGTATGCTTTCTCACAAAATACACATTACTAAATGTATTTTATCTTAAAATATAGACTTATATATGCTTTTAAAAAACTTTTATTTGCTTTTTGAGCCAAGAACTACATGATAAAATTTGGAGAAGAGCAGTGTCTGAAATATATCTTCATACTGATCACACATTAGTCCAGGAGATGTGGATCAGATCAGTCTGCAAATTGGCAGAAGTCAAAATTCCTCCAGCCTTCGTCATTCTACCTGTTAAACAACAGTGGCCATATTCACAAGCAGTGTAGTTAAACAGAGGTGTAAAAGGGATGTCAAACTCAAAAAGTGGTTTGAGTGCCCAAATTCATCATTCATGAGATGCCATTACAGTGGTACCTCGAGATGTGAACAGGATCCATTCCGGAGCCCTGTTCGCATCCAAAAGCAAACGTAACTAACGACGGCACGTCTGCGCACGCACGTGTTGCTTTTCGCCGCTTCTGCGCATGCGCGTGACGTCATTTTGAGCGTCTGCGCATGCACGAGCGGCAAAACCCAGAAGTAACACGCTCCGTTACTTCTGGGTTGCCGCAAAGCGCAACTTGAACGTGCTCAACATGAAGCATATTCAACCTGAGGTATGACTGTACTACAAAAATGTCACTTTTTGTGATTGCAAAGCCAAATTATTAAGTCTACCTCAACCTGATACAGCGGTACCTCAGTTTAAGAATGGTCCAGTTTAAGAACGATTCAGTTTACAAACTCTGCAAAATTGGAAATAGTGTCCCGGTTTGCGAACTTTACCTCAGTCTAAGAACGGAAGCTGAATGGTGGAAAGGCACCGGCAGCGGGAGGCCTCATTAGGGAAAGCATGCCTTGGTTTAAGAACAGTTTTGGTTTAAGAACGGACTTCAGGAATGAATTAAGTTCGTAAACCGAGGTACCACTGTACAAAAAATGCAGGGCATGGGGGAGGGATGTTAGCTGTTTCTGCAGCTGAGGCAACTTGCCTGTTCTCAAAGCACTTGAATGTGAAATAAAGAATATGTTATGTGTGCACACATTTGACCATGCTGAGTGCTGGGCACAGGCAATGTGGCTTGCAAGGAGTCAGACTATTAGGCCACGTAGCCCAGAACTAGTTGCCCCAAGAGCATTCCACCAACTAAAAGTCATCTTTAAAGCAGTATGCAAGCCCATCGCACAAACACATACAATATCCATGAGAGCAGAAGGACCAAACAGTCGTAGGACAGGAAGCCCACAACGCTGTTCCAGGCTAAGGGAGCTGGGCATGTTTAGCCTGGAGAAGAGGAGGTTAAGGGGTGATAGGATAGCCATGTTCAAATATATAAAAGGATGTCACATAGAGGAGGGAGAAAGGTTGTTTTCTGCTGCTCCAGAGAAGCGGACACGGAGCAATGGATCCAAACTACAAGAAAGAAGATTCCACCTAAACATTAGGAAGAACTTCCTGACAGTAAGAGCTGTTCGACAGTGGAATTTGCTGCCAAGGAGTGTGGTAGAGTCTCCTTCTTTGGAGGTCTTTAAGCAGAGGCTTGACAACCATATGTCAGGAGTGCTCTGATGGTGTTTCCTGCTCGGCAGGGGGTTGGACTCGATGGCCCTTGTGGTCTCTTCCAACTCTATGATTCTATGATTCTATGATTCTATGAATCACATGTATAGTCAAAACTCATTGGGTTAAATGGCAGGCAGGAATGCCAAAGGCATTTTCCTGGAACTCCACTTCCTTTCCATATTATTATTATTATTATTATTATTATTATTATTATTATTATTAGCCACATGTGTTAAGCTGAATGTGCACAAGTTAAATGCGTAAGTTGTGAGCTGTAACTGGCAAGAGTCAGTTCCTGTGGTTTACTAAGGGGCTTTTGGCTTCCATGAAGATGGCTCTGTGCAATGTGTGTGGAACGCACATTTGCAACCCTGAAAGAGCTTTGTGTGGATCTCCCCACCCTGTGACTCAGGGGCAGCCAACAGGGTCCCATCCAGATATTTGTGCTGGACTACAGCTCCCATCATCTCTGTTCCCTTGGCCATGCTGCCTGGGGCTGATGGGAGTTGTGGTCCATCTGGGGGGGCAGCCCATTAGCAGCCTGTGTAGAGTCCCAAGGGGGAGTACTTCTGGCCATGGAATGCCAGAGCAGAACTCATGGGAATTTAAACATTGCACAGCACTACACTTTCCCTAAATAGATCTCCCTTAAAAAAATTAAAAACCTTTTTTTAAAAAGCTGCTCTTCTTTAGTGACCAGCCACAAAGCAATGTTCTCCAGCAAAGCTGACAGCTCTGAACAAGAGAGCCGGGGACAAGAAGGGATGTGAGGTCAGGATTAAGAGCATCAGTGGCAGAGGGAGAAACACGCCTTCATCACAGGCCTTGTCAGCGACAGCAAGCAGCCATCCTGAACAGATGTACCGCCCCGCCCCGCCCTGCACCTTGCCACTGCCACAATTCGAACAAGGGAAGCACCCAGGTGAGGACACAGGGCCAGGATCTGTGTGTCATGCCTGTTCTGAGTCGCTGACAACTTCCATCCACTATTTCCCAGGGCTGCTCACCCTCAATGCAAGTCCTCTTAAAGTCACAGTCCTAGTCACAAATTCTACTCTCCACCTCCCCCGCCCCCGCCCCGTCCCCACTTCTCTCCCTCTCCTCTCTCTCTCTCTTTGACACATCTCTATTTTTAGCTTCCCCTTCACGGCAGCATTTGGCTGCTGTTGCTGCTCTCGGCCCTCGTGCAAATGAGCTCACGCTCTGCCTCACATGCCTCAGTCGCAGTACCTTCCAGGCCTGGCGCCAGTTCTGCGGCTGCAGGGGAGAGGGGGGCAGGAGGGGCAGGGAATGAGGAGTCTCAAAAATCCCCCAGCTTCTGCTGGCCCTCTGCTTAGTGCCACCTTGTGGAAGGCACCTGTGTGGCACAGTGGCTTGGTCATTGGGCTAGGACTGAGGAGACTTTGGGGGCCTCGAAGCCGGATGGCTGGACATGGACCAGTCACTGGAGCAAAAGGCTATTGAGCAAAAGGCTAAAATTGGCTCTGCAATGCCATACCCTCCTAACATTTCCCCAATGAAAATACTATTAAAGTGTTGTTGTTGTTGTTGTTGTTGTTGTTGTTGTTGTTGCTGTTATCATCATCATGCCCCCACCCTTCTGACTGGGTTTCCCCAGCCACTCTGAGCGGCTTCCAGCATGTATGAAACCATAACAAAACATTAAGCATTAAAAAGCTTCCTAGCCAGGGCTGCTTTCAAATGTCTTCTAAAAGTTGTCTAGTTACTCCTCTCCTTAACTCAGGGGTCGCGTAACTCCATACCCTCCAACATTTCTCTGATGAAAATAGGAATGTCCTAAGGAAAGTGGGACATTCCAAGATCAAATCAGGAACCAGGATGGCTTCTGTAAATCTGGGACTGTCTCTGGGAAATAAAGGAGGGTCTGCAATGTTTCTGAATGCCAGATGCTGGGAACCTCAGGAGAGAGGAGAGGGCACTTGTGCTTGGGTCTTGCTTGGGGGTTTCCCTGTAAGCATCTGGGAGGACACTGGGAGGACAGCTGCTGGACTAGAAGAAAGGTGCTTGCAGAAAGGTTACATGGTGGCTAGACAGTGTATGGTATTTATTGAGCAGTAGTTCTGATTCATGACCATGAGCATTCATCCAGATTTGCTTTGTGAGATCTTGAAATCCTAAGAGGGAGAGAGAAGCCTGAGATTGGCCAGAGGCACCTAACTCTGCTCAGTCTTTGCCCCATCTTCCTATTGTGCTTGTAGTCCAGTCATCCAAGGGGAATATGGGCAGGGGATTGCATTGCTGTGCCCTTCAGAGCAGACAACAAGCAGAAGCTGATTGTGGGTGGGGAGATTCAAGGGACTGCATTCAGGCTGCAATATCCCTCAGGCAGAATCCATCGCTTTGGTTGCTCCTGTACCACCTTCAAGGATTGCAAAGGAGAGTGAATATAAACAGGCGTCTCCTATCCTAGTGGTGCCAAGATGGGAAAAATCACACCTGGTGAAGTTCTCTCTTCTATGCAACCCTCAAGACAGAGGTGGCTAACTTGCGGCACTCAGCTCCCCTCCCAGCAGAGCCAGGAGCCAGGACTGATGGGAGCTGTAGTCTGAGGAAGGGCACCAGACGGAACTTAGATGGACAAAAGCTCTCTCATGGGATCTGAATTTGGCAATCCATCATCCTTACTGCTGGGATATGACTTACTGCTCCCATCATCCTAAACCCATGCCTCTACTTGGCTCTCTCCTCCTGCCCTCCACAAATCCTGCCCTGCTCCTCACATATCACACCAAGTGCCCTGATCCAGAGGTTAATGTCTTCCCATCTTCTGTCCCCCGACTCTCTCTCCCCCCGTGCCCCCGCCCAGAGATCTGCAAGGCTTGTCAGGCTCCAGCTGTTCCACACAGTGGTTTATCTAGGTCACCAATTACCCAACAGGCCCTCTTGCTGCCAGCACCACTGTCTAGAAAATCCCATCCTGCACAGATGGGACAGATCAACAGCACCCAGGGTTCAGGAGCCGGTCACTGATTTTTGCTCCCTGGGACAAGGAGGGGAAGCTTGGGAGAATACAGCTCACCCCCTCAAGCCCCCAAAGCAGGAACAGAAGCGCCAGCATCTACACCAGCTGTTTTCCTTGGGATTAGTCCCAGAACAACCCAAGAAAAGCTGGTATAATCTGCATCTCATCTGCTGTATTGGCACTGATCAGGGTACCAAACCAGGTTTATTTCATGGCCATAGCTGCTTCCTCATAGATGTATTATGCTCACCTATGACATTTTTCATCTCCAGAGACCTCCCAGGGAAAATGGTTCTGCCCTCAAATTTGCCACTTATAATGACATGATGGTTGGGAACTTACAAACAGTTCCATTCCTGGAGAAGTGCTCCAGCCAGATGGGCGGGGTAGAAATATATTATTATTATTATTATTATTATTATTATTATTATTAACCTACAAGTAAATTTGCTCACAAACAAGCACACTAATCAGCCATTTCAAGCAATGTGCTGGCGTACCTACCCCTGCACATATCGCCCCTCAAATTAAGCATTTGAGGCTGCCACTGCAGACTGTAGGTGAGAGACATTCCAGGTATATTTCATTTGCTCGTTTGTTTAAGCTGCAAGCATTTCTGCTGCACTCTTCGATCTTAAAAGAGATCCCAGAGCAGGCAAACAAGAAAAAAAAAACAGCAACAAATGATCACACTAAAACTACGATACATTTCAAAACATCTAAAAGGCTTACAAATAAAATTCCCTGGACAACAGAATAAGATTTTTACAGAAGCCATTTCACACCCAAAAAATTGGACAAACTCTTCCTTTTTTTTTTTAATAAGATATTTATTAAAGTTTCAACATAATACAAAAATAAGCGAAAAAAGGAAGAAAAAAAGGGGAAAAAATAGAAAATGAAAATACAAAATAAAAACAGTTAAAAAAACAGATTAGTCTTTCCATATCTTAACTTTCCTTTGCTTGTTTCCCCGACCTCCTCACACCTCCCTTTTTTGTATTCCAGTTCAAATTAGTTAATTCAGCAAATCCTTTCCCTCTTTGATTCTATCTTAATCTTTTATCTTAATATATTGTAACTTTAGATTATCACCTGTTAACAATCCACTTTTACATATTCCTTTGTAACATTGCTGCTAGAAACCATTTAACTTCAATCCAACATCATTCTAACATTCATTAATTTTGCAGTATTTCTGTAGATAGTCTTTAAATTTCTTCCAATCTTCTTCCACCAACTCTTCTCCCTGGTCTCGGATTCTGCCAGTCATTTCCGCCAGTTCCATATTGCAGATGACACCAAACTGGGAGGGGTGGCTAACACCGCAGAGGACAGGATCACACTTCAAAACGACCTTGACAGATTAGAGAACTGGGCCAAAACAAACAAGATGAATTTTAACAGGGAGAAATGTAAAGTATTGCACTTGGGCAAAAAAATGAGAGGCACAAATACAAGATGGGTGACACCTGGCTTGAGAGCAGTACATGTGAAAAGGATCTAGGAGTCTTGGTTGACCACAAACTTGACATGAGCCAACAGTGTGACGCGGCAGCTAAAAAAGCCAGTGCAATTCTGGGCTGCATCAATAGGAGTATAGCATCTAGATCAAGGGAAGTAATAGTGCCACTGTATTCTGCTCTGGTCAGACCTCACCTGGAGTACTGTGTCCAGTTCTGGGCACCACAGTTCAAGAAGGACACTGACAAACTGGAACGTGTCCAGAGGAGGGCAACCAAAATGGTCAAAGGCCTGGAAACGATGCCTTATGAGGAACGGCTAAGGGAGCTGGGCATGTTTAGCCTGGAGAAGAGGAGGTTAAGGGGTGATATGATAGCCATGTTCAAATATATAAAAGGATGTCACATAGAGGAGGGAGAAAGGTTGTTTTCTGCTGCTCCAGAGAAGCGGACACGGAGCAATGGATCCAAACTACAAGAAAGAAGATTCCACCTCAACATTAGGAAGAACTTCCTGACAGTAAGAGCTGTTCGACAGTGGAATTTGCTGCCAAGGAGTGTGGTGGAGTCTCCTTCTTTGGAGGTCTTTAAGCAGAGGCTTGACAACCATATGTCAGGAGTGCTCTGATGGTGTTTCCTGCTTGGCAGGGGGTTGGACTCGATGGCCCTTGTGGTCTCTTCCAGCTCTATGATTCTATGATTCTATGATTCTATGATCTTCGGATGCCATTCCTTTAGGTTTAGGTTGTACAAATGCAGCCCCTGATGATGCAGAGGGGCCAGATGTTGATGCTCTTCGCTGCAGCCCAGCGTCTGGGCGAAAAGATCTGCCAGACCTCGTTGTTTTTTCCTGCGGCAAATCTGCCATAACACTCTAGTTAAAGCCCAAGGTCAGTCCCATGGCCAGAATTTGTTTTGAAGTGGAAAATTCCCCTGGCCCAGTAGTTATTGTAATAGTTTCAAGCTTCCTCTAGGGGGACACAGTAGCAGTCAGAAGCTGTTGCCTTAAAAAAAAAAAAAAACCTTTTTTAATCCCCCAATTCACAAAATAGACAACAGTTTCAATTTCAGTTATTTTCCAGTTACTTTAAAACCAGGAAAAGCTAGCCGGAAACATTGTATCTCCCTTGCAGAGTTAGCTGTCAAAAAGTACTCTATTCACCAACAGCGCATTTCACAGTACGGCATTCTTATTGTCCATTGGCATCCCATTCCCAGGTTTTAAGCGGTGGATTTTAGCTTCCTTTCCTCTCTTTTTGCAGGGAAATACAGTTCACACCTTTCCCCCCTCCTCTCCTGCAGCCAAGGGGGGAGATCACTTGTTTTGATGTTAGAATTATAGTCCTTTTCAAGCGTCTTTCAAAGTTTTAGCTTACACGTTCGTTGCTTTACTCTATTTACAAAGAACGGAAGGCAGACTTCCTGTTTATGCCTCCCCGCTTCGGTATCAAATTACGTCTTTGTTCTCCTTTTTCCCTGAAATTAACCTACTCACGGGTAGTTGTTTTTGTAGCCAAATTGTCACAGGAAAAAGGTAGCGCTCTCCGGTAACGGCTGTGCGGCTTCGCTCCACAGAAGAAGCAGTTGACTCTCAGCACCGCGCCACTTCCCCGCTTCACTCCGGAGCCCGTAATTGAGCTCCTTTGCAGATGGGGGGGCGCAAAAGGTGCCCGCCGAGTCCCACGGTCACAGGCTTCACCCGCCTGTGATTTTTTTCAAGGGTCCCCGCTTCGCCGTAGCGGAACAGACCCGATTCCCGTAGAGCCAGTCCCTCCGGATCAGAGGAAGTCCGCCATTACCGATGGCGCCACCCCGGAAGTCCTGGACAAACTCTTCCTAGCTGGCACTATTTTAAAACTTTTTACACCCACTGACTGTCAAGACAGGATTTACTATCTATCGCTACTCCTGTCTCTGAGAGGTGAGAGATTCCAGGGCTTCCAGGAGCTTCCCTAGAGTTTGTGTTTCTTTTGGAACAAGGAACAGCGGAGACTGTGGTGTCTTTAGGATATATGGTTTATTTACACATATATCCAATCTGAGCCTACGATGGAGGGGTTTACAGCATTAAACCCCCCAAAAGGGTCTTGCTTCTCCCAGAGCTGCAGCCTTGGCTTCAAACAGAAATCAGGCATAGCTCTGTCTCCCAGCTGCCCAGTCGGCAGCCTGCTAGCTTCTACTTCAAACACACATGAGCTCCCAGCTCTGACCTTTGATTCTCTAACTACCAGCGAGTTGAGGGAGGGAGGTCCAATCATCTGGCACAGAGCCATTTCCTTTGTTACCTTAATGGCCCATACTTAGAGGGCCCTTACCAAGAGACTTGTCTGGCTGTTTCAGCAATTTGAATTAGATTTTAACACTTGCTATATCCAGGAATTAGAAGAGTCTCTGCATACAGCCTATCCCACCCCCACCAATTCATAACACTGTGTTAATTTCTGAGCCTGACTCAGGCATAAGAGGTGATACTGTTCATCTTGCTAGCTAGGAACCTTTTGGATACCCCAGAGGCTGCATCTTTCCCTCTTTCTCCGCCTTTTCCTTATCCCTTCTACAGTACTTTCTGCTTCTGAAGAGCTCTCCATCCATTTCCATCAACTCTGATGGACCCCTGTCTCACAAAATAAGGACCTGGCATTAAACTTCCTTTCTGAAGCCCTTCAGCTGACCACACCAGTCTCTGACCTTCCACTTCAAAGTCCAATCAGAGAAGACTTGCCCCTTTTCTTCCTCCAATTAAGGACTGGTTCTTTGGATACAATCTAGGGCTCTTTGGAAGAGCGTCCCTTTGTTAATCTGCTATTTATGCAAACAAATCAGAAGCACCCAACCCAAAAGAATCCTGGCAGCTGTAGTTTACACCCCTTGCAGAACTACAGTTCCCAGCACCCTTAACAAACTACAGTTCCCATAATTCTTTGGGAGGAGAGAATGTGCTTTAAATGTATGGCATGTACTTGGCCTGGATTCTGGTACCTTCTAAGGGTGGTAAAGCAGAGGACATTTCAGTAGGTGCAGCTTGTTATGGGTGGGAGAGAGAGAGAGAGAGAGAGAGAGAGAGAGAGAGAGAAGCTGCACTTGCTAAAATTCCATCTTATTAGAGACCCCCCCTTCCTTTTTTTGCATCCGGTCATCCAGCTTATAGAGACAAGAATTTACCTGCTTTGGGCCAGATCAAATTCCTCTTAAATGGAAGAGACAACCATGTAAGTAGGAGTGTGACTTTGTTTTCAAGCAGCAAAAGCTCTTAAGGATTTTCATAAGTATGAATGTGATTGATTGCAGCAGTGACAATGTGCTTCAGCAATGCTCTTGGGGTGTATAAACACATAATTCATCTCATATTTGATCTCTGATTGATGTATTGAGTTACAGATACATTTCTACAGATACATTCCTTGCACACTTTTGACTTTGGCATTCATTACTTTTTAGCCTATGGCCAAGACAAATAAAAAAAAGAGAAGGGGATGGGGAATGTGCTTGGAGCAGACACAGCTGAACTGCAGCAAACCAGGAGTTGCCGCCAGCGACACACCGCAGAAAAGTTGGTTTGAAATTCAGATCCCTTTCCCAACAAAGGGCACATATCGCACACCAAAAGAGGAATTCTCCCAGATAGACCTCTTAGCAGGGAAGTCAGATTTAACCTTTTAAGAGTGGTGGAGGAGAGGACCAGAAATGTTGCTGCCCTGGACATGCTCACTTTGAACTGCAATGGATGAGAGTTGGTTGCACCATGAGAGCGCCATGGAAGCCCCTCCCTCTGCTGCTGACCTCTCTCCATCTTTTCCCAACTGACACCAACTTGGACCTTCTCATGGCTGTGACATTGCAATACCTTAGCCAATGGCTTGTATAGTCTGTGTTTTCATCAGGTCTTGCCCTTTTGTGACCATTTTTGCAAAAGTGCCGTGTGCACAGATGTTGTTGTTAGCTCCTAAAATTCCATTTACTTAGAAAACCTGAGTTAAGAAATAGAATATAGACTTTGGGACTCAGAATGGGATCTTGTGTAGAGAGCAGCAGGAAGTTCTTTACGGATATTTGCACACATTTTCTTACTCTGATTTATTCTGTTCTAAAATAGTGATGATCGGAGAAGAGTTGAGAAATAGTTATGTGAAAAAGTCAAGGTGGGGCAAGAGACAGGGAAGGGGAGAGCTGCAAGGAGCAGCACAGGGCACGGGCTGCTTACGTCCTGACCACAGCTAAATTCCTACTAGTGATTTTCAGACCAGATGTTGCTCACATTGTCCACTACAGTACTGAGAACTAGAAACGTACTCTTAAAAAGAGACAGAGGGTGTGTTCACATTACTCCTTTAGAGCACAGTGAAGTTGTTGTGGTGGGTTTTTTTTTTGTTTTGTTTTTTTGTCATTTCACTGCTCTCCCCACACCCAGCTGTTCACATTCTTGTGCTTCATTTTCTTCTGTTTGTGTGCACTCCAGGGGGCACTGGCTGCCTTTACTCTGTGAAGAGGGGTTCACACCTGGTCTAGAGATGAGCTAAAGGTAAAGGTAAAGGGACCCCTGACCATTAGGTCCAACCGTGACCGACTCTGGGGTTGCGGCGCTCATCTTGCTTTACTGGCCGAGGGAGCTTCCGGGTCATCTGGCCAGCATGGCTAAGCCGCTTCTGGTGAACCAGAGCAGTGCACGGAAATGCCATTTACCTTCCCGCCAGAGCGGTACCTATTTATCTACCTGCACTTTGACGTGCTTTCGAGCTGCTAGGTTGGCAGGAGCAGGGACAGAGCAAGGGGAGCTCACCCTGTTGCGGGGATTCGAACCGCCGACCTTCTGATCGGCAAGTCCTAGGCTCTGTGGTTTAACCCACAGCGCCACCCGCGTCCCTTGAGATGATGAGCTAGGAATGGCTTAATGTCTCCAGAAGCACATGGGGGCAGCGTGGACAGAAGGCTTGCCATGCTGCTACCTTGAATTCCTCCACCAGCACTGGAAACACAGGGAGTTCACAGTCAACAGGAAGCAGAATACAGCCAGAGACAGGAGGCTAGATTTGAACTCAGAATACATGCCTGCTCTGAGAAACCCCGCTTTCATATCTGTCTAACCCAGTGTTTCCCACAGTGGGCAATACCACCCCCGGGGGGGGCACTGGAATGACCCAGGGGTGGTAGTAGCCTTGGGTGCAAATGGAGGACATTGAATAAGGGGGCAGTGGAAGCATACAGTAAGAAGAGAGGAGAAGAAAATTTTGAAAAACAGTTTGTAAAAACAGTTTCATCTGTTGTGTAATGACACTTACTGACAAGTCAGGCACCATTGCAGGACAGCAACAGTACCTCCCCTGGATCTAGCAGTCAGGCGAGAGACAAGGGCTTCTCCCTTTCCAGCTTCACCCAGGCCTGGAAAGTGGGAAGTGTTGCAGAGCATAGGTAGCAATATAAACACATAAAAGATCACAAATTTGTCACTGCATCTTTCTGTTTGCTTGCTTAAAGAAGGTAGATTTCTGGGGGGGGGGGGGAGAGTAATTTTTTTCTGTAAAGGGGGTGGTAGGCCAAATAAGTTTGGAAACCTCTGGTCCAACTCATTCTCTCTTTTGCCTTCCAGAGATGAGCTTGCTCCATGGACTGCCCTAGAGCTCACATCTGACAGATCAAGATTTTCTCCCCAGCTAGACCCGGCCTGTCTGGGGAGGACACAATGCCCTCCTTCCCGCTCCGCGCTCTGCTGGTGCTGCTCCTGCCAGGATTGCTGCCTGCCACTCTCCCCTGCCCGCCACAGTGTGTCTGCGAGACTCGCCCGTGGTTCACGCCACAGTCAGTCTACCACGAGGCCCGTACAGTGGACTGCAATGACCTGCTGCTGACCCAAGTGCCAGGGAATCTCTCTGCAGACACCCAGGTTCTCCTGCTGCAGAGCAACAAGATATCCAGGGTCAGCGGGGAGCTGCAGCACTTGCTCAACCTGACTGAGCTTGACCTCTCGCAGAACCACTTCTCCAGAATCAGCGATACTGGGTTAGCTAACCTCTCACGCCTCATTACGCTTTACTTGGAGGAGAACCAGGTGGAGGAGCTACCTGACCACTGTTTGCATGACCTCACGTCACTTGAGGAACTTTACATAAACCACAACCGCATCTCTTCCATCGAGCCGTTGGCCTTTGCCGGTTTGAGGAGCCTACTTCGGCTGCATCTCAATGCCAATCATCTCCGTGCCATTAACCACCGCTGGTTCCTCTCTCTCCCCAATTTGGAGATCCTGATGATTGGAGAGAACCCCATCTCGCAGCTAGAAGGGGGCAGCTTCCAGCCACTGGGACGGCTTCACAGCCTTGTCTTGGCTGGGATGGAGCTAAGCGAAGTACCCGCTGATGCTTTCCGAGGGCTGGATTACCTGGAAAGTTTGTCCTTCTATGACAACCATCTTCCACATGTTCCCACCAAGGCACTGAAGGGCCTTCCTCTCCTGAAGTTCCTGGATCTCAACAAGAACCCCATCGCAGAAGTTCGGACAGGGGACTTCAAGGACATGCTGCACTTGGAGGAGCTGAGCCTCAACAGCATGGAGGATCTGACTGGCATCCACAAAGGCGCTTTTGAGAATCTCCCAGAGTTGGCAAAGCTCGAGCTGTGCAACAACCCACGTCTCTCCTACTTGCATCCTGGAGCCTTCCGGGAGGTGCCAGCTCTTCGCACCCTTCTGGCCAGCAATGCGGCCCTCAGCCTCTTCCCTCTAGGCCTGACAGGGGCCTTGCCAGCTTTGGCAGAGCTCAGTCTCTATGGAAACCCACTCCGCTGTGATTGCCCAGAAGCCTGGCAGCCGTTGGCCATGGGACATGTCCGGTTAATTGAGTCCCAAACCACGCTCTGCACCCTGCCCTTGGAAGCCGCTGGGCAACAGCTCCAAGAAGAGCTGAAAGGTGTCATGGGAGGATCATGCCTGCCAGAAATCTCCTCCAAGGCTCTCTCCGAGAGGCTGGAGGTATCGGCTGGCTCAACAACAGCTCTGGATTGCCCAGCCAGCTCAGAGCCACCACCGCAGTTCCACTGGATAACGCCATCGGGGGGGAAAGTGACCACAGGGTCAGGGAGGCTCCATCTGAGGGTAGGGGGAACTCTAGAGATCAGTGCCACCAGCCCAGCAGACTCAGGAGTCTACACTTGTGTGGCATGGAATGGGCTGGGCTCTACCAGCCGCAGTGTGGTCCTTGCTGTGACGGAAGACAGACCCATTGCCCCCATCCGGCTGCTTGTCCTTGCTAAGAAGGTTCAGTCACATTTTGTGGTGGTGGAGTGGACGACATCCTTTGTGGAGGGGAGGAAGAGTGAGAGGAGTGATGAGTCCTCCACAGCCCACCCACCTCCTCCACTGCTGCCGTGGTCGTCAGCTACCATGCGAATCCATAATCCCCACCTGAGCTACACAGCACGAGTCCCTGTGGGCATCAAGGAGTTCAACCTCACACACCTACAGCCAGCCACCCGCTATGAGATTTGCCTTACTGTTGTGTCCTCCGGTCCCAGGTCCTCAGCAGCTGCTGGTTACGCGGATGTCCCCCCATCCTTGGTGACCTCCACCAGCTCTTTGGAAGCTGCCTTAGCAACCCCACGTGCTTCCACAACTTCTCTGGATTCCTGGGCAACCCAAGAAGGGTCTTCCGCCTCTTCTGTGGGTCATCTGACAACCACAGTTTCTTTGGCAGTTTCCAAGGGCTCCTCGGCGCCCCCAACAAGCCCCTTGCCAACCTCTGCCATGACTCCGCCTCTTCTGCAGCTGCCCCGCACCCAGCGCTCCTGCCTCAATGTCACCACCAAGGAGGCCTCGCTCGCAGTGGAACTGATGGGAGGTTGGGCTGGAGGAGCAGCCTTGGCTGCCGTCACCGGCTCCTTGCTGGCTGCCCTGAGCGCAGTGCTGCTGCTTCTCTGCGCCTCGCGGCGACTCAAGGAGAAAGGCTGCCGTCATTCGCTCAAGAAGTACATGCAGCATGCGGCGGCCATCCCGCTCAACGAGGTCTATCCGCCCCTCATCAGCTTGTGGGATGTGGAGGGGGACCCGCCCCTGCCCATGGCACCGCTGGCGCAACTGTCTCCGCCCATGTCAGCGCCGCCCCCTCCTCCAGCCACAGGAGGGGGGCACCCTCTCCTGCTGCCCCCTCCACCAGGCCAAATTGACACGTCCAAGACCTACCTGTGGCAACAGCCGTGAAGGAAACAGGCAGCAGGTGGGCACACACACCTCTGCCTCCCCATGGATATTAGGGTATGGGGCTTCCCAATCCATGCCCTTTCCTCCCACTTTTCTTCCTTGCGCACCCACCTTTGCATACACCGCCTCTAGAGAGCACCAGGAAGCTGGATGTTTATTCTTTAGTCAAGGTCTCACTGTGTAGTCGTAGCCAAATAAGGAGGGGAGCGTAACAGGTGGATGACAGAGCAACTGGGACAGTGTAGCCCCTGGGGGGCAAGGGGGGAGAGATGAGTTTTTGAATAAAGCTGTGGCATTAGAGAACACAGAGAGTGTTTGGGTGTGTTGGTTGGAAAGGAAGCCAACCCAGAACATCCCTGTGCAAGCTGTGAAATGCATCCATCTTACCCAAAGTAAAAAATAAGTTGCTTTTAGAAACTAAGGTAGAGATGCTTCCCTCTTGTGGGCATTTGGGGATTAACAGGCCAGTTTCTCCTCCTGGGCTGGACTGCAGCTTCAGTTTCAGACGGGAGAGAGGAGGAGAGAGAGACCTGTCCAGATCAAAGCATCCATGGCCTTTAGAGACCCTAAGCACTGGGGGAGGGGTATGGTGCCCCCAAATTCATGATGAAAAATACAAACAATACTAGGTCCCCTGCAACCTCATTATTGTGATCTACTGTAGCAGGACACCCCCTGGTTTAGGTGGGTGTTAGGAAGAGAGCAGGAAATGGGGGGAGGGTGCCTAGGAGAGTGTAAGGAAGCCTAACAAAGTTCTGAGTTTTCACATGTTTTTTTAAAAATATCAAATGTCATTTTATTTTTTAAAAATCTCATTTGTGTGTGTGGAGAGGGGGAGTTTGGTACCCCTGCTTTTCTGATGCCCTAAACACATGCTTAGTCTGCCTGTTGGATAATCCAACATTGCGTTAACAGCAATCCCATGCTCTGGCCTATATGTCCTCTGTTCTGATCCCAGCCATACAAGGACAGATGGTGCTTACCTGAGTGGCAAAAAAAAGGCACTTTGCTCAAAGGGCACTACTTCTCATGTCCCAGGACCATGAGCCATGGCATTAAAAACTGGTTTTGCAGTTTGAGCCCTGAATCTTGTGAGCTTTCTCCATGCTGTTTTCCACTGGCTGGCTTCTGGCTAGCCTCAGCCAAACCCCATAGACTCTCTTTGTTGGAAGGTGGTGAGTCAGCCGGACCTGGCCATCTTTTACCATTGAGAGTTGGCTGAGCTTCCTCAGAAGACAGCTGACAGTTGCTGAGTGCTAATCCCGTGGCTCCATCGTCATCATTTCCCCAATCATTTCAAGTCCTTTGAAATTCCTTGACCAATTGAAGATGATTCTCACACCAAATCCAGGTTACAGAAAAGGTTGGAATCGTAGAATGGTAGAGTTGGAAGGGGCCATGTGACTCATCTAGTCCAACCCCTGCAATGCAGGAATCTTTCGCCCAACGTGGGGCTCAAACACACGACCCCAAGATTAAAAGTCTCATGCTCCACTCACAAAACATTAAGGCGGAAGCAGGAGAAACAGGAATGGCCACCCCAGGGGTTCACATTATGCATAATTTCAGAGGGGAACATGCATTTTCTGCTGCAACAGTGTGGCCAGGCTGTCTCAGTGCACACCCTTCTGCTCTTCAGGAGCACCAGAATGCAGAGTGCTGTAATATGGCCATTGATAGGATATTGCGCTTGCAGCACTGAAGCCTCTGTTTGGCTCAGCTAGTCCACTGGCTCACAGCATCACAATCCTGACAGCACTGCTGACGTGGTTTGTGGTCCAAACCCTGCGAGGTAATGGGAAATTGTCACTTCGAATGCAAATAAAAAAATATTGTACAGGAAGAACCTTTTCTAGCTGAGTGCTAGAAAAGTATAGGACAGGGAGCCAAGGGGCAAGACGGCTAAAGAAAGGGTCAAATGCAAGCAATGGAATAAGAACGAATAACCTGGGGAAAGGACAGGCTGAGGACAAGACTTGAGGCAAGGAAAGGGACTAATGAGAGAGGGGCTTCAGATGATGAAATCTCTAAATTCTTAAGATCAGCTTGCCTTCGGGGGGTGGGGGGTAGAAGGATACAGAAGGTACCAAGGAGTAGGGCTGCCATACATCCGGATTTCCCCGGACATTACCAGAATTTCAAAGGCAGAACTGACATCCATGGGGGAATGTTAAGGAAAAGGAAAGGATATATTGAATAAGTATTATCCGTCCTTCACTCACACCAGTGAAGGAGTGAGTGATGTAGCAGAGCAGATTCCTCTTAATATAGCAGGGGAATATAGTAGGAAGCTGGTCTGCAGATTTGTTTGAATCTCTTTAGTTGAGTAATCCAATCTGGCTTGTCCAGATGGATTATTCCTGGTGTCCCCTTTGATCCCTCTTAAAAGAATAAAGACACAAGAGTCTTTCCTTAAAAGTAACAAGAAGTTTACTCACATTTCAGTTCACAATTTGATCCCTGAAAGGCAGGCTTAACTTAGTAGTTACATAACAAACTGAGTTCATTTCACATGGAGATTGAGCTCATGTGTTGCTGGCTAAGAACCAGCAGACAGCAAAATTACATTAAGAGAACAAAATGGCAGCAAGAGATCGGCACGAGAGAGAGATCAAGAGAGAGAAAATGGCTGCATGACTCGGCTCCTTTATGGAGTCAGCCAGGGCCACGCCCATCTCCCAGGTCACATGCAGGGGAGGATGCTCCAGACCAGCAGAACAGGAAGTTACACTGACTGGAGTAGCAGCCCACTACCTGTGCCGACTGGGGAAATAAAGAATGTTGTACAGTACTTGACTGTTCCAATGGATTACATCCCACAATCCAGGCGGCACTTCCCCTGATTTTATGCAAGTCAAGTGAAAAATCATGGTCTCTTGGTGTTTTTGTAAAAAAAAAAAAAAAACCTCAGCAACTTGCTTGTCCTAGTTTTTACATTTTGAAATATGGCAACCCTACCAAGGAGGAGGAAGTCTAAAAGAAACAGGAAGTGGGGCAGAGTAGGAAGTGGGCTGAAAAACCTGGTGAAGACATGGGACTGAAGGTGTGCCAAGCGGTTGCTGAACAGCTTGGTAGGTTTCTGGAAGAAACATCGGCTCTGGATCCATTCCAGTCCGGCTTCCGCACTGGTCATGGGACCGAGACGGCTCTGGTCGCCCTAACAGATGATCTCCGCAGGCAGCTGGATCGAAGCGGGTCGGGGCTGCTGATTCTTCTAGACCCGTCAGCAGCCTTTGACATGGTTGATCAAGAACTCCTGGACCACCGCCTTGCCGACATGGGGATCCAGGGCACAGTCCTTCAATGGCTGCGCTCGTTTCTCTCTGGTCGGGGACAGAGGGTGGCGCTTGGGGGGGAATTGTCATCCCGCCACTCCCTGGTGTGTGGAGTGCCCCAGGGTGCGATACTCTCCCCGATGCTTTTTAACATCTTTATGAGCCCCTCGCCCAGCTTGTCCGGAGTTTTGGGCTGGGCTGCCATCAGTATGCTGATGACACCCAACTCTATCTGTTGATGGATGGCCATCCTGACTCGGCCCCAGACACACTGATCAGATGCTTGGAAGCTGTGGCTGGATGGTTACGTGGGAAGTTAAATCCTTTGAAGACAGAGGTCCTGTGGCTGGGACGGGACGATATGGGATTGGGGGGGCAACTCCCATCTCTTGAGGGGGCGCAATTAGTGCCAGCACCGTCCGTTAAGAGTTTGGGTGTAATCTTCGATACCTCCCTCTCTATGGAGGCGCAGATTGCAGCTATAACAAAGGTGGCATTTTTCCATCTCCGCCAAGCTAAGCAGTTGGCTCCTTACTTCTCTCGCCCTGACCTAGCCACTGTGATCCACGCGACGGTCACCTCCAGACTGGATTATTGTAACTCGCTCTACGTGGGGCTGCCCTTGAGACTGACCCAGAAACTCCAGCGGGTGCGGAATGCCGCAGCGAGACTCCTTACGGGGTCTTCGCTGCGAGATCACATTCATCCGGTGCTATACCAGCTGCACTGGCTCCCGGTGGAGTACAGGATCAGGTTTAAGGTGCTGGTTTTAACCTTCAAAGCCCTATACGGCCTAGGACCCTCGTACCTATGGGACCGCCTCTCCTGGTAAGCCCCACAGAGGAACTTACGGTCTGCAAATAAAAACATCTTGAAGGTCCCAGGCCTCAGAGAGGTTAGGCTGGCCTCAACTAGAGCCAGGGTTTTCTCGGCTGCGGCTCCAATCTGGTGGGACGCTCTGTCACAAGAGACTAGGGCCCTGCAGGACTTGACATCTTTCTGCAGGGCCTGCAAGACAGAGCTGTTCCACCAGGCCTTTGGTCAGGGCGCAGCCTGACTCCCTCCTTTGGCAATCTTTACAAAACTTTAGTTTATGGTTGCCATCAATTTTGACTTAAATTAATTTTTATAATGTTTTTATAATGTTGCACTATTTTAGTGTTGTTAGCCGCCCTGAGCCCGGCTTCGGCTGGGGAGGGCGGGATATAAATTTAAAAAATTATTATTATTATTATTATTATTATTATTATTATTATTATTTCCAAGGGGCCGAGGTGCCTTTGGCCACCTCAGTGTTGGGGGGGCGCTGCAGAAACTGGTGCAGCCTAGCAGAAGGCTGCACTGACCTGTGCGGTGTCGAGAGATGTGCATGACGTCATGCACATGCAACACACGCTGGGGCCCCTCAATCTTGGGGGCAATGGAGTGCTTCTGAGCCAAGGAGAAAGAAGATTGTGGTGCAGTCACACTCATGGCCCAACAGAGAAGGAGCTATGTCCTGTGGCCAGGAAGGAAATCTCCAGACAAAGGAGGAGGTTTTGGGGGCTGGGTAATTGTGGACCAAAGACAGAAGGGAGAGTCATACCCTGTCACCTGTGTGAGGCAGAAATGGGGCACCTGTGGCCCTCTAGGTATTGTCCCAACTCCCATGATTTGCTGACCATTGACCACGCTGCTTGGGGCTGGTGGGGGCTGGAGCCCAGCAGCATCTGAAAGGGCCACATGCCCCCCTTGCCACCATCCCTGCTATAAGAGCTGCTGGGCAGGGATTGAACTCTGCCAGTTCTGTTCTCAGCTGCCACTGCAGGAATGTGACCTGGCAGCCCCATAGAGGATAAGGATGAGGATCAAACTCAAAAGGTGGGTGGGTGGGGGCAGGCAGGATGAATTTCACTGTGTGGTCTGGATTAATGAGCCAAATTCCTTTTCTAGCAGAAGCTGTGTGTTCTGTGGCAGGGGGGCCAGCAAGAGGTCCTGGGGGCTGAACATGGTGCTCACTTTCCAGAGAGAAATGCCAATGCTATTGAGCCCGTCAGAAAGTGGAATGCTCTGCTTGCGGTGCCTTGCCTGCTGATAGCAAATGTAGCAGAAATGGAGACACCCTTAGCAGGGGGGCGGGGGGGGGAGAAAAGTGGGTGCAACCAAAGGCAAAAATGAACGGGGCAACAGATGCGGCTTTTACCTTTATATAGTCGGCCGTATTCCACCCCATACGTTTAGCACATGGCTTACCCAAGGAATCCTGGGAGCTGTAGTTTGCTAAGGGTTCTGGGTATTGCAGCTCCATGCAGAGTAAACTACAGTTCCCATGATTCTTTGGAGGAAGCCAGGCACTTCAAATGTATCTTGCAGAAGTTGGAGGCTTGTACAGCAACCCCAACTGCCCAGTCCCATGGATCCACCCAGGCAAATGAGAGGCATGATGTGAGTCCAAGCACACATTCCAAGCCAGCCCCAAGCACTCCTGTTGGACAGTGAGTGGGGCCAGTGAGGGACAGCATGGCCTAGGGAGCAGGTGTGCACTGGCCAGAGTCAAAGGGCCAAAGAAAGCCCCATGGGCAGAATGGCCGTATTTGGCTCAAGGCTGAAGGTTCCCCACCTCAACCTAAAGCCACCTCCTGAGTGGATGGCAGCTGGGTCATCCAGAGGCCAGGGCACCTGATGTTCAAAAATATGGGTGACTGGAAATGTTTCATTCACAGTGGGCATGGAATGAGTCCGGGGCACAGGTGTTGGTGTGGCACAGGCCATGGTAGAGAAGGAGGGTTTTTTCTGTTGAGGGCTCCTTTCTCTTTGCAGAGACTCTGTTTGTGGGTTCATGCCAAGTCGCTGTAGCTGATGGGAGGGGGCCACAGCTGCTAAGGGAAGGGCCACCCCTTTTCCTCTGCCTTTTTCACCATCTCCTTTTCCATCCAGTGGTTCCATCCGGGACAGAGGCAAGTCACTCATGAAAGATGTCTGAACTTGTAGCTGGAGTCTCCTTGCAAGTAATCCCTAAGCAGCCAATGAGAGGTCATCTCAGGAAGCGCCCCCCCCGTGTTATTTATCATCACTCCAGAAGCCGCTACAAAGCTGCCCAAGGGAGGAGGCCAAGGGAGGAGGCCAGCAGTGGTCAGCAGCCATGGAGAGACCTTGGAGAGCCCCCAGGATGCTCCCTCACAGCCACTGCTGCTCAAGACAAGCGCTAGTGCTGGCAGGGGAAATAGGAACGTTACAGGATCAGATCAGAAGCCAGGGTGGCTTTCATAATTCTGGGACTGTCCCTGGGAAATAGGGAGACTTGGAGGGTATGCAGTGAGATTTGAATGAGCCTCTTCCCCACCTCTCTGAAGATCTCCTTCACTGAAGATTTTAGATAGAGTAGACTGTGGAGCCGGGGGTGGCCGGGGGGTGGTGTGCTGGAATGAAGGAGAGCCCCAGGAGAGTAGAGGCCTTTATCTTGGCAGCCAAGTTTGGCTTCCACCCCCACATCCCGCCAACACTGCAGTCAGCCAGAAATAGATCAGAGTGCATTAAGGAACAAAGAGAATGGCTATGGCAACCACAAATCTGTGCTACTTTTAAAGCAAACAGCTAATGAGTGCTTTGGAGAAAGGAAGAGGAGGAGCGAGGGTTTCACCCACTCATTAGGCCCAAGATTACCAACTTTCTGCTATTTGCTGGCAGGCCTCTCCGCTTAGGTTTTAACAGCTGCATGGCCAGTTGAAGTTCAGAAACAGACGTTCAGCAAGTGAAGACTCCTGCAGTCTTGCAACTGCAAGGCCAGAAGGAGATTCGTTAACTGAATTTCTGGTGGTTGCACAGCTTAAAGGCACAGGAGCCTTGCCCCAAATGAGAATTGACAACCCTAGAGGAGGCCTGACTAATAAATAAATAAAAATAAATAAAAAGTAGAATATTTTAAGAGCATTGGTAGCAGTGACATCTCAAACCCCAGAATAACAACAGCAAGGTTGCTTTAACACATGAAAGGATATATTTTTTAAGTGATGGGTTTCCTGCTGTAATGGTTCTAGGGGTTGCTCGTGCGTAAGCCGGTGCAAACACCTGGCTGGATTGCCTGAGTGAACCTTTTCTGTCCGGACAGCCACTCACCCGTGGCTGTCTCAATCGCTGGCAGAATCCATCAGTGGGCGTTTCTTAAACTTCTTCCAGCAAAGAAGCTCTTGAACGCCTAGTCTCCTCCTACTCTCTCTGCGCGAAAGCCTTCTGCGCAAGGAGGGCGTAGGCAGCGGAGGACCTCTACTCTCCCCGCTGGTCCCCGGCAAGGAGTCATGGGACCGTCTTGCCGCTGTGAGGAGAACCTGAGCTTACAGGGTTAAACAGCTCAGAGTGTACGCCCTGCCTACTGTTGGGAGGGAGGAAGTTCGTCATTTCCGAGAGCCTCAAGCCTTTGTTCTTCTCTCTACTTTTGCTTTTGAGGAGAGAGGACGTGTTTTCACGATGCTGTTCGCTGTGATAGATAATGGATAGTCTGCTGTAAATAAAACTGCTTTTAGCTGCTAAGATCCTGAGTGGACTTTATTTAAGCACACTGAAGCAGGCACTGGAGTTTTTGCAGTCTTTCTCTTACCGCTGCCGATCTCTGCTTTGCTCAGAGCATCGGAATGTGGAGTTTGGAATGCAGAGGCCTGGCAAGAGATTGCACAGCGGGAGCGTGCCGGACGCCAGCTTATCTGAGCAATAAATCAATCTGCTTCAAGAGGTTATGGGTGACAGTTACTGCAATTAGAGGAAGCTGCTTTGAAGCTTGAAGTGCTGTGTGCTTAAAAAGGCTGAGAAAGTTGAGAAGCTGCTGTTTTTGCTGCCGGAAGAAAAAAAGTCCTGCTTTGAGGCTTTGCCTGGGAGAAAGCAGGGAGACTGGCTGCAATGCTGTGTGCTGCAAAGAGCCACTGGAGGCCTCTCCGTTGAAGCTGGCTGGTACGCATGAGTACTCCAAAGCCCCAAGGGGGGACCGGGGGAGGAGATGGCAGAACTCCAGGAGAGTTTCAACATCCCCTTTGAAAGATTAAATCAGCAAAATTGGGATATCTGGGTTAGAAGAGTAAGGGGGTGGTTTTTGGCCACAGGGCTCTGGAATATAGCCCAGAAGGAGCCGGCCCCACCCATGCCAGTTGCTGCTGAAGATGGCGGAGCAGACCTGGAGGCTATTTTGCTGGAAGATAGAGAGCAGAGAATGCAAAGAGAGCTCTGCATGTTGAGAGCAAGCGTGGATGCTATGCTGTTGCCCCACCTGGAGGGCGTTGAGTCGGCTCAGGCCGCCTGGCAGGTGCTGAGGAGTCTGTGCAAGAGCTCAGCAGGAGCCCAGGGCCGGGAGAACGCCGAGAGCAGGGAGGAAGCCGAGAGCCCAGAGGGGGCTGCTGGCCATGTTCCTGAAGTTACAGCTGGGAGTAGCTGCTTTGTCTCCGAGGGGCCGTGTGATGTTGAGGCCTACAACCAGAGTGCTGGGGAGCGTGCAGGCCCAGGCTGTGCACCCAAAAGTGGGGGTGCAGGGAACAAAGGAATGGCTGGAGAGGGAGCTGTGAGAGCTGTTGCTACATGTCGCCGCTGTTATCGCTGTGGCTCCCCCTCCCATCTGGTGAGAGAATGTCCAGTGGAGGCACAGGAACAGCCGAAGGCCGTCTCCCGTAGCAACCAGATAAAGGACTCTTCTTCAAAGCGTGGGAAAGGCAAGCCGAAGGCAGCTGGCAGAGACACTGAACGTAAACATTTGGCAGCCTTTATGGCTGCAGTCAAGAGTTGTCAACAGGATGCTGTGCTGGCTTTTGTCATAGACTCAGGTGCTTCCCATCATCTAGTGCCATCTAGTGGATTCCTGGAGAACTGCACCTCTGTAACTTCTGGGAAGACTGTTTGTTTAGCAGATGGGACTCGACACCCACTCACGCAGACTGGCTCACTGTTTTGTTCTTTCTTACAGGATTCAATCCAGGCTTTTGTTGTTCCAGGACTGTCCTGCGCGTTGCTGTCTGCCAGTGCACTTCTTGCTGAGAACTACAGAGTGTGTTTTGAGAACAATAAGTGTTCTATTTCTAAGAATGGACAGCACCTAGTCAGTGTTGAATGTAAAGACAGGTTTTTGTGATAGATGCTTCTTTTGCAGGTCCAGATGACACGGAGGAGGCTCAAGCATAGTGTGCCAACGTTCCAGTTCATGATGCGTGTGCTC